AAGAGCTCTTTGTCCGTCCCCGCAGCCCTCCGGGCCTCGCTGCTCGACCTCCTGCTCGCTGGGTTCTTCCTCTCTTGCGTGTAGGATCACAGAATCACCGAGGTGGAAAAGACGCTTAAGACCATCGAGTCCAACCATCTGTTTCGCCCACAAATCCTGCCCAGGGGCTTCCAGGAAACGACCCTTAAGATCATCCAGTTGTTTGCCCCACAGTTCTTGCCCACGGGGTTCCAGGGCTGAGGTAGATGCACCGTCCCCTCCCTCGTGTCCTCCCCACACTCACGCAGGCAGAACCCTGCCAGGTGGCACGTGGCGTGTGCCCACGGTCCCCGTTGCCTTGAGCGGGCTCCTGGTAGCCCAGACGCCGGCCTCCAGCATAAGGAGGGTGGTGGCTCTCCACCTGCTCCTTGAGGGGCTGGTGCCACCTCCTGACTGCAGCAGAGGAAGGGACCGACCAGAGGTTCTATAGCTGATACCTTGGGGCGAATCAAGGTGAAATGACACCAAAGGGTCAGAAGGAATAAAATTTATTGATTCCACATTTGAATCACCTGAGGAGTTAATTCTCTGGCATTAAAGCAAAGCAATTAGCCTTTGTACCCGATGTTACAAAAAAGGAAAGACAGGAAAGAAAGGGAAAAAGAAAGGAGAAGGGGAGAGAGAGAGTTCACCACCCTGGGATCCAGCGGTGTCCTGCACAGTCAGGCCTTCTGGGGGTGGTGGGTGCACACACAGCAACGCAAACCCTGAGTATTTAAGCACAAAAGTCTCTGCCCTGTCTCCTCCCTCGTGTTATCACAGGGAGGAATTGCCACTGGGAGAAACACCATGCGCCAGGAGTCCGGCATCACGCACCCAGGTCCTGCACCAATGGGCCTGGGACTGCACAAATCACCCTGGGGGGGCGTGGGATGGCGGGAGCCCCCAGTGTTGCCACAAGACCATAACTTGGTGCCGCGTCACCAGTTTTTCGCCGGCGCCGTGTCCTGTGGATGCAGTCGCTGAGGTGCTGAGTTGCTGTAGCAAAGTGTGTTTAAGACAGTAAAGTTCTTACACAAGGGCCACAGCCGGGCCTTGGGGAACAGCCTGTCCCCAGCAGAGACCAAGAGCCGCGCTGGGGAGGGGGAGCAGAGGTTCTCCTGCATTCGCTGGGGCTGGCAGACCAGGCCACAGCCAGTTGGCACCTCGATGGCTGCCCAATCCACCACAGACAAAGAGCCACTGCACAGACCTTCTGGGCGCCCGCCTACGACCTCCCAGGACAGGAGAGCTTCTCAGCATCCGTCTGCATCTCACAGCTCAAAACCTCCACCGCAGGACAGCGACACCCAGGCAGGGCCTGAGGAAGAGCCGGTCCCACTCAACCCTCTCTTTTGCCTTTTTAGCATCGAGTACAATCTGATGGGGCTGGGATCTCCCCGGACAGGTTGGGTCGTTATCCTGGTTGTGTCCCCTCCTGACCTCCTGCACAACCCCCGTCTAGTCACCGTGTGGCCGAGTGACAAAGGAGATGTCCTTGACGCTGTGCCAACGCTGTTCAGACCCATCGCTGCGCCACCAACGCCGCCGGGGTCACAAACCCCCAACACCGCGCCCTGCTGGGCTGTCAGCCAGAAAGTCAACTCAGCCCCAGCCAAAACCAGCCCAGGCTCGAGGCGAGACTGCGAGAGCAGCCCAGGCCCCGGGAGAGGAGGCACAGCCCCACGGAGGGTGGGGACAAGCGTTTGTTGTTGTGTGCACCAGGACATGTACGCACCCAGCAGCAGACGGTTACAACCAGAAAATGAAAGCACAACGGTAGTAACGGCCGTGCCAGATTATCAGCAACTCAGTATCAGCAAATGGGATTAAAAAAACCTGAAAACTTTAATTTAAAGAACTTTAACTTAACAAAATTTAACAAACTTTAATTTACTGAACTTTAACTTAAGGAACTTTAGCTTGACGAATTTAGCTAAATGACGTTTAGCTTAACAAACGTGAGTTTAACAATTGTGGGCTTAACAGACTTGAGTTTAACGAACTTCAGCTTAACGAATTTTAACCAACTTGAACTTAACCAACTATAGCTAAACAAAGTTTAAGTTAACAAATTTTAGCTAAAAGAACTTGATCTTAACAAACGTAAGCTAAAAGATTTTGAGCTTAACAAATTTGAGTTTCACAAATTTTAGATAAAGAGCTTAATGAACTTTAACTTGACTAACTTTGCTTAACAAACTTTAGGTAAGCGAACTTGAGCTACACGAAATTTAGCTAAAGGAATTTCAGCATAACAAACTTTTGATGAACAAATTTAGCTTAGCAAACTCTCATCTTCAAAGATTCTAAAAGCCTTTCCAAACAGCAAGTCTCTCTGCGTCCAGCCGGTGAGAGGGGAGGGGGCCGCATCCAGCCACGCGCAGGCCCCTCGCCCAGCGGTCAGGTGCTCGTCCCTGCGGGGACCAGAGGAAGAGACGGTGTCACCCAGGGCCACCTCCTTGTCCCCAACCTGCTCCTCTGGTGGTCTTGCTGATGGTGCCACCAGCACCAGAGGGGAGACACGACCTCTCCCCTCTACGAGGCTTGGAAGAGGGTCAGCACAGGGGGGACGGTGGGGAGGGAAATGCCGGCAGCTGCAGCTGAAACTGCCGCCGGTACTCACATGGCGCCATGTTGTAGTCCTCGTTTGTCCTCCCTGCAGAGAGGAAGAGGCGTCAGGATCCACCCCGCTTCACCGCCAGGCTTGCTGGCTCCCCAGAGCGCAGCGGCTCCTGCACGCAGCCCCTCCCGGACCCCCAGGCCAACTTACTCTTCTATATGACCTATTTGGTGAACATGGTGATGATGACCAAGACAGCCAGGACGGCAATGTCCATCCACAGAGAGATGTCCACCTGGCTGGACTCCGGCTCTGGGGGAGAGCAGGGCCGTGAGGAGGGGGAGGGCAACCAGCCCGGCCCACCGCTCCCCGTGCCCAAGGCCACCGGGCTCACCCCACGTGAAGAGCCTGGGCTCGGGCAGGCTGGCGTGCTCCACACGGCACCGGTACTCGTCCTTCTCCTCCAGGTGGGCCTCGATGGAGGCCCAGGTGTAGTAGGTGCCGTCGCTGTTGGGCGCGACGCTGCCCCGCTCGGTCTCCTGGTCCCTGACCTCGCCGCCCTTCAGCCAGCTGACGGCGATGGGCCGCGGGTAGAAGCCGTAAGCGCGGCAGTACAAGGTCAGGAACCCGTCGGCCTCCTTCCCCGACACTTGGACCGTGGGGGGCTCTGGGGAGGGGGTGCGGGTGAGGGCCGGCACACGCCCCCACAGCACCCGCTCCCCGGCCCCCCGGCTCGCCCTCACCTTTCCTCTCCAGCACGGCCCGCCCGTAGCTCACGTATTTCCTCAGCCACTCCACGCAGGTGTTCTCCAGGTAGTGCTTCACGTGCTCAGCGACCGTCCTGTCCGCATCCCACTTCCTCTTGGTGATTTGCGCCGCTTCATCCGCTGCGGTGAGCGTCATCGTGTCTGTGTCCAAGGCCATGAAGTCCTGCCCATCAAAGGCCGTCTGATAAACCCCTTTGATAAACGTCCCATTCTCATGGATGTCATAACCGACCATGCGCTGCCGTGTGTGACCACCTGAAACACAACCCGAGACAGGGCTGAGGGGCTGTGGCAGCCCTGGGCCTGCAGTGGGGCGCGGAGCCCCCGGCAGCACCCCCCACTCCAGCCCTGCGGGAGGCTTTGGGGGGATCGGGCACCGGCACGAGAGCTGCCCCCGTCCTGCCCGGGGCCCACGGAGCCCGTCCCAGCCCGCACTCACTCCCGCTCTGGTTGTAGCGGCCCCGCACTGTGTCCAGGCTCATGCGGTTGATCTGCTGGCTGCCCTGTGCAATCCGGGTGTTCTTGTCCCAGAACTCTCGATGCAGGTTTTTCTCCACCCAGCTCGTCCGGGGCACCATCCTCCTGGTCTCGCTGTCGTAGCGTGAGATGAGGTTCCCGTCCACGTACCCCACGGACACAAACTCGGGCACCCCCGGGCTGGGCTC